TGACTCGTGTGTCGCTACTCTGATAATCTAGTAATTTACGCTAGATTATCTAGTAATCTAGGTAGATCTAGTAATCTAGGTAATCTAGATAGAGCCCCGAAAAGTAGTAAAAAAGTGCGACTTATACTCGTCAAAATATGGTAATTAACAGAGTTCGGTGGTTTTAAGCGATCGGCTATTATTAAGGATGGCGCTTATTAGAACTAAAAAGTACTGTTTAGAAATAAATAAAACCCGAGTGGTAAGATGTAGAAAATAAAATACTTATAGATTTTTCACAGGGAAACACTTTGGACTGCGGACAGGCAAATGCTCTACACTACCTGTCTCAGTAATCACATAGCGCGTCTATGTCGCGCTATAATATTGTCGCAATAATTAACAATGGCGAATGTACAACACCTGCAAGATGTGGTGAAATAATATCACAAAGTACATATATTTCATTAATTCTATAGGATATTCGCTAATATATTCTCTTACAATTAATTTATTATTAGTAAAACCTAATATATCTCTTAATACATTTTCAAATTCTATTGAATATTTCTATATTTTACATATATGTGAGAATCTAAAGAGGTAAGGGAAAAATCATTTTAATTAGAAAGAAGTTGGAAAGAAGAATTAAAATAATAGAAAATAACATTTTAAACTTCAACAAGATTTTATCTAAAAACGGGGGAAACATCGGATTTTTGAAAGGAAGTTGATTTCATTTCCCAGGCTAACTCAGGATGAGTCGAGTTTTGCACACGTTACGGAAGACCAAATAAAAGGGCCTTTTCGCGCCATTCGGGGCAGTCCGACGAAAAGAGGTTTGCCATACAAAATAAGTCCGACATTCGATAAAAGGCAGTCCGACAAGGAAAGGGTTTGCCATACGGAAAAATTTGATATACGTTAAGAGGCTGTTAAGAAGAGGTATTGCCATACGAAGAGAATACGACACAAGTGATCGTCATACCAGACGGATAAGGCCATACGAGACCGATTAATTGAAGTATAAATATACGACAAGATTGTCAACGGAATAGAAGAAGAGAAATACTTAAAGAAGGAAGGTCCTCATACAGAAATAGATACGAAAAACACGGTGAAGGTAATATAGACTCTGATAGATCGATGTAAAATCTCTCACGCGTTAGGTAGCAATAAGATAGTTTAAGATAGATGTAGGTAGGGGAGACCGGGGCAACTTCGGCATGCGGGGCAAGTTTGTCAAGCGCTTTTTTTTAAAAACAAATTAAAAGGAGACTTTGGTTATAGGTTAGGCAGTTGAGTTTTATTGGTGGCTTGTTGAGTGTAGTGTTTTTATTGTTCTCCAACAAGCGTAGTTGAATTATCAAGCAAATTTTCATTTTCGTTCAATTCCATATAATATTTTTTTTCCATTTATATTGAATTGGCAGGTTTTGTTATAATTCCATGATAACGAAAGTTACTTTTCCTGTTAGAAGGATGTAACTTCAACTTATTCACGTGGCCAGATCGTGGCTTGGCATTCTGTTCTCAGGGTTGTACTTAATGTTTCGAAATCATGACTAGCGGGGTAAGATCGGCAACATAAAGCCACATTAGAAGCAAAGGATAAAAATCAAACAGATGATAAATGAAAACATGTTTGCATTTGTTATTCATGTATATATGTCTTTGAACTTGCATTTCGTTGTAATAATATTAAATGGGTGTTGGATTTGTATTTCTTTGTTTTAATAGTGAATTCCAACTTATACATTGTTAATAACATAATTTTATATACGTGCCTATCTTGCCCCATTACTGTTGCCCCTATACCAGGGGCAACTTTAATAAAAATAATTAAAATAATTACAACTTTACAAAAAGAGAGAAGTTGCCGATCTTGCCCCTATACCCGGGGCAACTTCGTCAATTTCTCTCTTCTTGTAAAGTTGTAATTATTTTAATTATTTTTATTTCCAAACTGATTTTAACCAGTTCTATAGTAAGGTAACATTCCAATAGACAATATGCAAAGGCTTTTTTTTTCAGTTTACAGCAGTATTTATTACACAAAATTTAAGTAAAGCTTAACATGCCGATCTTGCCCCGATCTCCCCTATACGTTAGATTCATCGTTGTATACTTTTATTGTTTGATTTATTAAATATTTTGATTTGTTTTATAAAACGGTTTGTTCTCTATTAGACATTCATTTTCATTCAAGTTACCTTAGATCCTCCGAATCCCGAGTTAAGGATAACGCGTGTTAATCCGCGTATCTAAATTTGATTAACTGGTGTCAAGGAATCCTGACGTAGATCTGGAATTAATCCTCTAGATCGTTTAAACATTAACAGCCCTCCTATAAAAAGTATCGAGACCGAATCTCACATATATTCTGAGTCGTGTAAGTGGTTAGTATCCTCGGCTAGTCTCACATATATTTAATAGATATATTTAATTTTACTTTTCTCTTAGGTAACAATATACATTTAAGATGGAATAATTCTTTGAACAGTTGTTGTGACGAATGAAACAATCCAATAGATATTGTTTTTAATCGTTTTTCTACAACAATATTAAATACAGTCTTTGTTCTATTTTTTTCTACTAGTAAAAAGAACTGATCGTGTAAATTTGATGTCGATGATCGTTATTTAAAATATATAATAATTTATCGTCTTTTGTTAAATAAATCTCGTAGTCATCATTTATCAATAATTCAACTTCCGAATTATTCTTGTTTAAAGTAAACTTTGCTAGTTTCAATTATTCTTAATATTTCACACCTTTTGTATAAAGTAATTTTATATGATATATTTAATATTCATCTAGAATTAAATTAAATTTTTCTTTCTTTCCTAATAATATTTATTCGAGTAATCAGTTATATTAAACCAACATTTGAAAATATTACATTCTAGGCTGCCAACTTTCCATTTTTTAATCCAATTAATAGGTGATGCTAGCTTTGTCACGTAATGCGATTTAAACTTTTACAAACACTTGTAATACATCTATACATTTATACGAATTACGATACGTAAATAATCTGTATATTAAGTGATGTATTTTTTATTACAAATTCTCCGTGGGTATTTCGACTGTAATTATTTTCTTTCAATTTTCTGATTAATGATGAAACATATTTATAAAAAAACACTAGGTGTAGATAATATGATCTGTTTTTTGCGATAGATCTCGTGAAATTTCATTGATTTCATCTTATAGTAGCATTTCAGATTTTTGATATCGATAGGATGTAATTAATTGAGGTGGAACTAATACCATTATCTTAACCATTTGAAATACCTACAGTTCCATTTACAGCACTCAATATTGGACCAATTATTAATGATAGAAATCTTTCGGATTGATTTAAATAAACGCTTTTTTATTTTAAGCAATAAATTTTTATCTGATAATTGCGATTTATATTTTTTTTCAATTTCTTTACTTTAAATGATAACTTTCCAAATATTGTATCATATTTCGCATATTGCTTTTATTTCCGGTGGACTGGCGTGACTGAATAATGCCAGTCCACCGCAATATTGACAGTCATAAAATAAGAGTAATTTTGTAGAAAAGCTTGTCGAGCTAAACACACAATTTAAATTTCATTTCTTTTATTTTTAAATATAATCGAGTAGATATAAACTGGAAATACATTTTGTATTAAAATTACATTTATATTATAACGATAACATTCAACTATAAATAATTTATTAATTTTATTAAATAATGAATTCATTAAATTGTCAATAACTACTAAATCTACAAATTCAAACTTCTCTGAAAATTTCCGAATAAACTCAAAATTTTTTTCTTTCAAATACCGTTGCTGGAAAACACAATGAAATTACATAACTTTCGTTGTAGGTTAGTCGTAAACATTTGTATTATTCGTTTTTTTTAACTAATGTAGTTTTTCCGGATTGACTTGGCCTCGCCAGTATACAGGTAGAAGGCGATTTCAAGAACATTTCTGACATATTCTTTACATCAGTTTTCAATTGGTTACGTTCGTTATTACAAATATGTGTTAGGCCTATATCAAATACCTTAAACGTATCTTTATCACAAATGTGAAAATAGTATGATCTGCCAATGTGTTTCGAATACTTATACGTTGTGTCACTCAAATCAATATGAATTTTCCTATCCGAAAAATAGCCACACAAATAAACGGAAACATAAAAACATACAACGATAGACAAAATCATATAAAAATATTTTCGTAACATTATAAATGAATGTTCATACGGTCTGCAAAACTACAACTTACGTACAGATAACTATAACACCATTTAGGCCTATACACAATCGCAAAAAAATAATAATAATAATCCAGAGTGACCGCAAGTAAAATATCGAGCCAGAGATTTAATCTAGGGTCTCCCATATATATAGGCCTATATATATGGGAGTGAAGTATCCTTATTAGTGTATATATAGGCTATATATATATATATATATATATATATACACTTCTATGGCTTTAACAGAACGATACTTTGGCCATCTGCTCCAGCATAAGATTATTATTTATGTTAATTATTACTCCCTCGTTTTTAACGTCATCACTCCAACCTACTCTTTATCTATTACTGTTAACGTTTCGGTTTGAATCTGAAACAATTGCTTTAGTTTATTTATACAAAAATTTGCAGTTGGACGTGTTAGATAAGCAAGAATTTAATTGGATCAATGGAGTCTTTTAAGGGTATATATATATATATATATATACGTGACTATTTCTGCAACTGACANGAAGTTATTAAAACATAACTTTTATACCGTATTATAAATTATTACAAAAACGAAAAAATGGTTTACTTTCGAGGGTAGAGATGAGTTTTTTAAAATATTGTAAATACCAGTAATGAGTCCTACCCCATCCGAGATATGACACGTAAACCTGTATCTCCCCTCCCCTCCAGTTCAATACTGGAAATTTTAATAGGCCTAATAATAATAATAATAATAATAATAATAATAATAAAATTTAATGCTCCTTACAGTTTCAAATTAAAGTTTCAAATTTTGTTTTGTAATGCTTACTTCATCTTGATACATTAAATAAAAGAGACGCAATACACATACAGACACGCAAGCATGCAGACACAAAGGGGCATACATCTACATAAATTATATCCAGGAAATTCCCTAGTTTTTTACCTTATTGTATTCCGGAGTTTGAAATTAATCGAGAGAATAATTGTGCGTAATTTGTAGTTTTAATGAAAGGACACTCTAGAGAACATTTTAAAAATATATTTTCTAAACGGGGTTTAAATACTACAAAATTATTTCATGCCCTTCGGAAATTACGAAACAATTAAATTACTTCAATCGAGTCGAATATCAACTTCATTGTTTAACGCCCGACCTTGAAAAATAAAAATCCTGCCACTCAGTCGTTTTTTGTTGGTGAATTACTGTTATATTTATTTCCCCTTTGTCAATCAAAGTGACGTTCACTTCCACTCACCAATTCACTTTACGAAAGTGTAATACATTCTTTGCATTACTCGCAAAGCCGTTTGCCTAATTGTTAAGGAAGTTATTTAAAGGACAAGTCGCGCGTATCTTCGTCTTCATTGCCTATAGAAAAGCCAGTTTTTATCGATATACGTCTGCCGTTACGTAAACCGAAGAGAAAATTTATTGCCATTTGTTTAAAATCGAACGTCTCACGATTGTCTATCTTCATTTGAAACGAGGGTCGTCCGAAGATTAGGTGCATCTAGCACATATTTTTTCAACGTAATAAAAAGTTTCCAGCTCTGGTTGTAGTTTGTCGTTTATTGCCACGCGTCGTCACGGCATCGTCCACAAAAAGGTATGGCTTAGTTGTAAAAACTAAATACCAATTGCCGTTGTAAATTAATTAATAATCGAGTCCGGGTTTTAAACTTTTTATTCGAAATGATTTTGATTGTTTCGAACAAGTGAAAGAAATGTGTAGCGGTGGCGTAACAGTAACATCCTGTACACGTATTGTATTGCGTTTAAGCTGATCCCGGAAGGACGTAACTTATAGTGACTTTATTTCCTATATCGATATACTTTTCTTTCAATTTAATTTATTTTATTTGTACATTTTGTAGTGAGTCGAAATTAGGTGAAATTTTAGATTTAGAAGGGACTCGATAATCAGACTTCGTCAATAATCAAATGATAGCCACGGAAACAAAGAAAGAAACAGCCGTATACGTTTCACCCCCCGAAAACGGTGAAGTGACCGAAGAGGATTTGGAAGACGAAGGCGATATTCGATGGAGTGACATTCGTGGAAAGCGGATTGCTTCTACGAGTATAGTCCGACCAGCCAAAAATCAGTTTTTCATGATTGTTTTCGATAAATGGTGAGTTACGTTGGTGGACGAAGTCAAGTCTCGCGCGAATTGTCAGTCGCGTCAGAAAGCACGGACATTGTCACTTTCGTACCTTTGTAAATCGTAAACAAAGTCCTGGACTCCTATTTTTTACATTTAAATGATCCTTCGGTCGCAACTAATGAAAAATTGCAAAGTTTTATCAAAGTCGACCCATTAAAGTTTCGGAACGAACTCGGTCCTATAAGCCCATTGAAGGCGTGTTAGCCATCGTGGAACGTCGCGCGATTGGTGCGATATTCCTTGGTCGCGAGTGCTTATAGTACGACCGCATATCTCGAAAACAAAGCCACGGACCTCCATTTTTATTGTATTTTTCAGATTCCTCGTGGCAATTAACGGAAAATGGCAAAGTTCAATCAGAATCGATTGAACAGATTTTGAGAACGAATACAATTCTGTAAGTCACATAGAAGAGGCTTCCGCTAACGCTTCGCCTCTATTAAGTCAACCTTTAATCATAAAAAATTAATAGATACATCCATCCCCTTTTAATACGCAAACCTCCCTGCAAAATTTCAGAAATTATCGACAAAAGGCTGAGAAATTATCACGCTTCAAAGAGGGTGAAAAAATTCATGCCCACCACACACTAACATCTACTCGTACAGGAAAAAACTCAACTTTTTTGCGTTTCTCGACGTTTCGAGGCACTCGAGTCCACAAACATAAAATCTTGAGGCTCGTTTTTTGACACGTGACCATACTTTCCTTCTGTTTTATATAACAGCCAAGAAATTATACGTGTTATTGACTAATTATAATTATTTAAATAAACGGGTTTGTGTGTGTACGCATTCGCGTGTGTGTATTGGCGTCTCTTTTATTTAATGTCTCAGGACTGGATAAACGTTACAAAACGATATTTGGAACAAAACTTTTTATGTGAGGAGCGTTAAATATTATTATTATTATTAAATTTTCCAGCGTAGAACTCGAGGGGAAGGGAGATACAGGGTTTACGGATCATATCTCGGATGGGGTAGGACGTAAAGAAAATTTTCGTCATTACTGCCATTTACAAAGTTTCCAAGTAGACTGATTTCGGTGTCTACCACCCTACGTACTCTCCCATACCGTTCGTTCACTTTGACTGGGGTGGGTAGAATTCTTCACTCCCCCTATTGGCCTCTTACACATTTCATTAAGTAAACAATTATTTGACAGGTTTTATCGAGAAAAACTATTCCAATTCTAATTTTAGATTATTTTAATTCCATTGGAAATGTCGAGCCATCGATAAATGTGGTTTTGCGGTTTTCGGTCGATATTTCTCACTGAAATGCTTAATTTTGTATCCAATTACATTTAAAATGTGAGCGAATATATATTTAGAAAAATCTGTACTCGACTCGAAACTCCCCATTAGAATATTATTCTAAAACGTTATGTCCTTGCGTAGTCGTCCATTCCAATGTCGCCTTTCTATCTGTTAATAATATCTAAAACACCAGCACCTTATCCATTCTTCAGCAGAAATCCGCAGTCCAGAGTTGAGCTAAGCCCAGCTGAGCCTACTCTCTACCATCCATTAGTTGTGTTTTTAGTTAGCATTTTGAATTAAAAGGTGTATATTAAAAGCTACGAAACCCGGAAAACTGTTGTATGTGGCAATATATATACAGCTGCGCACGCGATCGTCACATTTCCGGAAATAAGAACTTTGCCCATAGTTCCATGAGTGTTACGTTCCCGTTTTTTTCCTTCACCGGAAGTGTCAGATTAGAGAGGTTGAGGCGCACGTTTTAAACGTGTAAACGTGTACGTGTGACGTTCGGCGCCGCTTTCCCGTAAGCCTAAAAGTTTGACAATGGTGTTTGGATAGTCGGTGGATTTTATAATTATAAAGGATTTATACTCAACCTCTCTATTGACTCGTTGATATTCCGTGTATGCGCCTCGAGTGAGCCGTGGCGAATTTTAATTTTGATTGATTCGAATTGTCCTTCATTATAACAGAAATTCCACCCGCCAACCCGTTTTTCACCCTTGATTAAAGTAATGTTACCTCCCACCGCGAAAACAGAAGTGAAATGTTTCTTTTCTCAAGACGTAACCAGACACTCGTATTCGGAGAGGATTTCATACCCAGAGCTAAAACGGAAAGTAAGAAAGTTTACACTTTTTGCTGTAAATAGGTAGCGAAGCTTAAAATATTATTTAGAATATTAAAATATAAGAGACAGTAAAAATCGATTTGACACACTAAGCGTGTGTGAAAATCGATTTTGCTGTTACCGAAATGAGAGTGTGGCGTCGTTGGCTGAAAATATGTCAAGCTCCAATTTGGCACGGAAAACTGGGTTAAAGCACCGAGGTATTACGCGAGCGAAAGTGTCTGAAAGTCCAAGGTTGCTGTATTTATGATAGACTACGTGATTAAAAAATAACTGTTTTTTTTAAATATTTTATTTAAATTTTTCCTGTATTTTTATATACGTCGTAAATTTTAGAATATTAGTAAGAGGGCCGAGGTTATTTTTGATGTTTATAAATGAAATTTTTTTTTACTTCATTTGTCATACAAAAGTAATTTGATAAGTGTTTAGCAACAATCTTATCAGTGTCTTTTTTCATATTTATTACAGTAAAGAGAATCAAATTAAATCTAATAGGTGATGAGGTTTGTGTAGTAATAAATGGGAAGCGATAATTGGTTAAAAGAAACTGCATAGTAACGGCTGCAAAGACATAAAACACTGCGAGGTAACGTTACTGTTTTAATTACATCACTTATTTACGATAACTTTCTTTCATTTTTAATTAAACGATGGTGCGTAAAGTTTTTGTATTTCAATAGAAAACAATAGTTTATTATCGATACATTTACAAGAATTAAAACACATTTTATAGCACTCGTCCTTCGCGTGCATGGCTTACGTAAGGTGTTGGTTGCAATCTCCTTTTACATGTACAGTATTTGACTTATAATGTAAATTAAATCTTACGAACGAGCTATAAATATTTTATATATTTAATTATCGTATATAAATAGACGTTGTATTGCAGTAATAGCGCGTAGGCATATACATACGCGATTATTATGTTCTAATCGTTACTGACGTCGCATTTTTGAAGTGTACTCTAGAATTAGATAGCAATATCTTAAAGATAAGAGGGAAAGATACAAAATTATGAATAATACATTGCGGTGTTTTGCGATTTTATATTAGAATATATTTTTACTATATGTTAATTAATTTATTTATTTTTATATTTTTATTAATGTCAGCTTTTATATCTTTTATTTACATTATTACTAATTATTTATAAAATTTACACATTTCAAAATATTTTCATATAACTGATAAAACACAACTTTTGTGGGCAATTTACGAGTATAATATTGTTTGACGCGACATTTTATATTTTATCTTTTCTATTTTATCCTTTACTTTTAAACGTTCAGTTGTACTTGATCTAAAATTATCGTAACGTTTTATCACCATTTATTTTATCGTTATTTATTTTATTTTTATATTATTTATATCTTATTATCTTATACATCTTTCTCCTAAAATTGTAATTCGTAACCAGGGCCTTCACTGTGAAGAAGCGGAAATTTCTTCCCGGATCGAGAAAATACTTACAAGCCATTAGTAGTTCCTACTCTTACAGATTAATTTTATTTTTACTAACAGAAAATAAAATTCTTAAGGCTGTATTTTATTCTTAAAAAATATTCCAAGTGTTTTATTTCTTCAGAAAAAATAAGGCAATGAACCCATTATTATAAAGGCAACGAATAGGTCGATACCGATAAGTCGATGATAAGTGGATACTGGCCAATTCGTAACTGGCTGAGGTTTATCTAAAAATCATTCAAATGGTATTTTTGGAGCACGGATTGGAGTATTTTCTCGTTGCGAGATCCTGAAGGGGCTTTCGAGTTCTTTTACGAAAAGAAAGACGGTGATTTTCAAGCAAGATTTGATAGACAGTAGCATTTATTTTACTGTAATAAAGGCAACGCTAGTTTTACAAAAATTCCAACTTCTTCTTGCTGCCTCTTACAATACATTTGCTGTTCTGTCCTTAAATGATGTCGTTAGTATCATTTAAGAAGAGAAAATATTTTTTTAATTCAGAGCATGCTTTTCAATACCATTCGTTTCCCAAAAGTCTAAAATTGCCGAACGAGTTAACTCGCCCGTAGAAATGCATAGACGTGATGAAAAAGATCTCAAATTTATACAATTATTAGAAAGTTCATGAATAATTCCGTCTTGCCGATAACTCTGATGGCTTTCCGTTGATATTTTTGATACTTATTTATCACTTTTTTTATTTATATTTATCATAAAATTGTCAGCTACAGTTGTAAATCTGCCGAAATGTTTGGCAATTTCTCTTCTTGTTTTTCCTCCGACTTTTACGCAAACCATCGTGTCGATAAATAATTTTTCACCCGTTTCATAATTTTTTACGCGGCAACGTAATAAAAATTTAAACTCATTAAATTGAATAAATACACATTTTAACATTTTTCCAATTAAAATCACCGCCTTTATAATTATGAGCTACACCTTAGCGGAGAGCCCACTTTACTTCGGATCTTATACAAAATGTCAGCCATCCTGACTAGAAACCAATACAAAATTTATCGCAATATCTACGTAATTTTCTTTCAACACGCGCTAGTTTAAAAAATAAGTAGTATAAAACAGTAAATAAAAGTAGATTACTCCATATCGAGACGTCGCAGAATTGGGTCACCTGGTTACGAATTGTTTCTTTTTTTTTTGAAACTCTCACCCATGTTTACGTCTTACTGCATTACAGTTTAGGATGTAATTATCAGCTGATAAATAAAATGATTAATTTAAATTTAAAAAATTAATTTTGAATATATTCGTAAATAATTTTTGAAGAAAACTAGGCAAACCGTAAGTAAATAATTAATATTTTTATTGGCGAAAATTAAAATATATGGCTTATAATATACTGGGCTACAATTTGAAAAATTGTAGACTTATAAATTAAAAAATAAAGTTATACTTTGGTCTTGGTGTGATAAGCCATCCAAATTGTTAAATCCTATTTATTAGGTTATCTAACTCTAATTTAAGTCGTGGGATAAAAGCGTCGTTTATTATTATTATAAATTCTCACCGTCGTTTGTCTGTTCGTCTGATGTCTGTCCTTCGTTAATCTGGAGAACGGAGTAAGATAGATGATTGGTAGGACTCTGTTGCAAGGAGGAAAAGTATGATGGACAGGGGCGAGACACTACTAATTTTAAATCGCGACCGTAACATATATTTTAAATGAGATAAATTAAAACTATGACTAGAAATTGCAGCCGGGCGCTGTGACGATGTTAGAATAATTTTTTTTTATTAATAGGGCTTTGAATAAAATGTTATAAAAATATAAATAAATTAAAATATTTTCTATATACATAAAATATACATCTATACTGAGTTTTTTATTGAGAATTTCGAGGAATATTCTTGTTTTATCCCGTTTTCTGCTAATCGGTATGAATATGTAAATAAGTTATAAGTGGAATTTTGCTTTTTAAAATTAATTCGAAATGAATCGTCAAATTCTTTTAAAAAGCAAAACTTCAATGTAGATTTTCGGTTCAAACTGATCTACAAATTTGATTAGATATTTTAAAATCAGTTTGCAATTGCATTTTGGTCTTAAAACAAAAAAATAATAATAATAATTTAGTCGAAATTTTTTGAAATGCTTCCGACGTAAACTTTTTTTACGTATTTTTCAGGTCAAACATGAAAGTAGGATTCGCGTACAAACTTCTAAGTAAAAAGTTCGAAAAACACGGAAGGAGAATCAGCAGATTCGTCTTTTGGTTCTTAATAGGACCAATTTTCTTCAGCTTTCTCTTGGCCACGGGATTACAGAAACTAAAAATAGACAACAGCGAAAACATCTTCGTTACTTCTAACGGTGTCGTCGGGAAATATCGATGGCAGTTGAGGAAGTGGTTTCCCATGGACACTTCTTCCGATTTTCAACCCGGAAGATCCATCGACACGTATTTATACGCCACTGTTATAGTCGAGACGAGAGACAAAGGGTCCGTTCTTCGATCGTCCGTCTTCCAAGAAATAATTACATTGGACGAGAATATACGTAATTTCACCTTTTCCGATAAAGGCCAATGGAAGTACGAAGATTTGTGCGCTAAGAATAATGGAAAATGCTGGCAGAATAGCATTCTTCTTCTCGAAAGTAAAATTGCGCGGATCGAAAACGGAACGTTCGCGTTGAAATATCCTATAAATAGGAGCAGTAAGAAAAATTACAACGTACTTTCTTTAGGAGGAATCGCTGTTAATGATAAAAATGAAATAATTTTCGCTCGGGCCCTAAGATTAATTTACTTTCTAAATGATGCGGACGAGACGATGGAAAGTCTGAGCAAAAAATGGGAGAAAGTTTTCGTCGACGGTGTTAGTGCGCTTAAATTCGAGAAGATAAATGTAGTCAAAGATATCTCTACGTCGTTTGAAAATTCCCTAATCGACGTTTTCAAGATTACCAAAGTCTTCCTTCCGTTATCTATGTTTTGTATGTTACTTTACACTATTTCGGTCAATCTGTCGCCGGATTTTCTCAGAAGTAAACCCTGGGTAGGGATCATGTCGTCGTTAGCTACTGGCCTGAGTGTAATTTCTGGATTTGGTTTATTAATGTACTGTGGATTGAAATTTTCATCCAGTCTTACTCTGGTTCCATTTCTTATATTAGGTAAGTTTTTTATAACATTTTTTAATGTATTAGAAAACTTTTATACAATTACTTTGATCATATTGAAAGACATTCCATAAAACCTCGTTATACGTTTTATTTGGCACGTCTAAGCTAAATTTCGTGTACGAAATTTAGCTGGGACGTGCCAAATCTAATTTGATTTTCTTTCGTTAATTCATTTCGGACGAATTATACTCGCTCGAAATGTAAATTTTAAGGTAGAAATGATTTAACCGTCGATAACAAAATGATATTAACAGTAATTTTAAGTTGGATTACGTTCCCCCGTGTGTGTTCCTCCACATATACACAGATGAAAATAGCTTCACGAAAACGGAAATACGAAACTGCGGCCGAAAAATTATTATTAGTAAATAATAAACCCAAATACATCCGCTTTTTTAAATGTTAATTCACTGTTTCGTTTGGTTCGTCCGTGAAGAAATGCAACTTATAGTTTTCTGTTATTTCAGACGTCCCTTTACAGGGTAAAACTTAGAACCGAGGTTTTACGTCACTTATCTTTTTTTAAATTAATTACAATAGTAAAAAGTTTATAAATTAAAACTGGAGAGATGTTAGTAATAAAAGTTTTGCTAGTTTAAGAAATTGTACAAATATAAGATGTGTAATTCCTCCACTTTTATGAGCGAAGAAAATGGACTTTGATCTCGAATAACCAACTTAAATTTGAGTGGCCTCAAATAGTGTTTTGTGATGTTTCTAGGGATTTTTAGATTCAAATCCCACTCCCGTGACACCAATTTGTGAGCCACCGGGAGGTAAGAGGAGTCCGCTCCTTTTTGCCACAGGTCGGTGACCTACTTTCTTGTCAGGGATGGTAGTAACGTTCGGTTACGCGTTACGCGAGTGGAGAAGAGTCGGAGGGGTCGACGATAAGACGTTGGCAAAGTCGAGTAACGACACCATTTAAAACAAAACAACGGTTTATTTTACAAGCTAACTAAATAAAAATTTTACAAAACTTCATAGACTTCGCGGATGAGAGACAGAGTTTACAAAAATAAGCGTTCATACCTCTATGCATATACTAGTGGGATATTTTCCCATAATGTCGCCCTTTATGGATTCTGAGCGGTGACACAAGTATAGGTCGGCGACGAAAGTGTAGGGCTGCAATGGAGAAGGCGATGTCTGACTTCGACGTTCGGCGATTCCCCCCATGAGGGGAAGGTGTCGGGTTTTTATACCTTTTTCGGTGGGAAAATTAGTCAGGTGAGCAATTGTTTTAGCAGGTGTGGGGTTAAAGGTGGTGATCGAATGACAACAATATGACGAATTTTGCCTGTACGTGTAAACTATGCACGGTTTGATCGTGAGAATGTTTATAGTTAAACCGAAAGAGTTATAAATTTCTCATGGTCAAAAACTTTATATTTCGTTTTTGTAGGTCCAAATTCCTTGAGTTAAAGGTATTTTTTATTTTAATTTATTAAAATTTTAAAGGGTTACTTTCTTTTATGAAATTATATGCACTTCGAATTTCACAGTTGTTTNTTATATTTCGTTTTTGTAGGTCCAAATTCCTTTAGTTAAAGGAATTTTAATTTACATTTATTAAAATTTTAAAGGGTTACTTTCTTTTATGAAATTATATGCACTTCGAATTTCACAGTTGTTTTTATTTTTTCACCGACTTGTCTTTCTTCGCTATCGACAACATTTTAATATCAATAAATTAAATGCGATTTTAACGCTTTAAATGGCAAATTAATAATGAAAAATTGACGAATGTGGAGCGATCCTCGAAAACAAATTGACAGCATTTTTTAGCAATTTTTAATTTATGGAAATTTAAGATAAGTTTACCAGACAACAGCTATGAATGGAGTACACATTGTGCCTAAGAAAGTATTGGACCTTTGAATAGGAAGAAGATATTTTTTTAATTCAGAGCATGCTTTTCAATATCATTTGGTAACCATTATTTTAGAGATAAGAGAATTCGGAAAATCATAACATACGAACCAATAAAATGGGAAGCTTTAAAGAACGAATCGTAGTGGAACGTTCTTTAATTGTTAAACTCTTTACAAAATTAATTGTAACAAATGTATCTAAGGTAATTCTCTTTGCCGTCGCTCTTATTGCGGTTGGCAAAATGACGTATTAAGGGCAGGAAAGATACCATACGGAGAAATCAATGTCGGTAAGAAGCTAGAAAGGTATACGATGTGTAAAAGTAAACAAGTTATTTTCATTTATATACTTTTTCGCCAGTTTTGTAGATATTGCACCGAAAAAATGGTCAACAAAAAATGAACACATTTTTATTCTTCATGTAAACGAAAAATCCAGCAACGAGTCGCTTAACTTTCCCGGCAACATTTGGTGGCACCGTATGTTACAATATTTTATTATTAAAAACTTTTTATATTTTTTATTACTATAAAAAAGGCAAAAAGCTTAATTTCCAGGGTGAGGTTGGATTTTATATAAAAATATTGTAAATGATAATAAACAATAAAATTGTCATTAAGTTCGACACACGACCCCCTTTATCTCCCCACTTCCCGGACCTTTAACCACCAAAATTAAATAGCATTAATTCCCTAACACACAAAAATTTCTGCAAAATTTCAGAAATTATCGATAAAAGGCAAAGGGTAAAGAAAATCGTGTCCCACACACATATGTAAGCCTATACTTGCAGAACTTGCCTCCGATTTTGTTTTTTTTTTTGTTTTTTTTTGCATTTCTCTATGTCCCGAGTCTATTTTTGATTGATTTTGTTTTAATTTAATCCTTAGTAAATATAATAATTCAAGTTTCGACTTCGGAAAACTTCATTAGGCCTATATTCTTCAAAATGACAGTCAGAAGATATAACTGTCCGTTCTATCACCTGATGATGGATACTGCATCTCCACACAGTTGTTTCCATTTTTTCTGTTTATGGACTTTGTTTATTGATTTCACGGTGTGCAAGAAATATTAATACTTAACTCCTTTTTTAATTAACCGTTTTTTGTGTGGAGTAATCTCTTAACTTTGTAATATTTTAATGCTATAAATATAATTACACACTTAAAATGGTATTAGAGTTCTTGAATGGTTCCGAAATATATATAATTATTATCGATTTAATAAATAGGTAAATAAAAATAAACGAACTGAATGCTATCTTATGAATTAATGCTGTATTAAAATTAACGATGAATATATTACAAGTCGAACAGAAACGACACAATGAAAAGAGCAATAATTGTAATGTAATACGTGTTATTTTCTTTGTTCCTAGGTATTGGGATGGACGACACGTTCATCATGCTGTATGCGTGGAAGAAAAGTGAAAAAACGAAGACCTTGCCAGAGAAAATGGCGGAAACATTTTCCGAAACTGGTGTCTCCATCACTATCACTTCCCTAACTAACATCGCTTCATTTGCAGTAGGAATTATATTCTCGTCTATCCCAATGTATAGACATTTCTGTATCTTCATGTCAACGTGTTTGATCTTTGATTATATATATCAGATCACGTTTATGGGAGCTATTTTCGTGTATTGTGGAAAGGCGGAAGAGAAGAATTTACATTCCTTAGTATTTGTTCCACTGAAGAAATTCTCTTCTACAGGTAAAATAGAAATGCTTTCTAAGACTTTTATTTCTTATTTATTTTCTCTTATCTTAATCTTTTAATTATTATGAGTATTGTACGACTCTTTCGTTGTATATTATTGTTATACTTTCTACAGAGAAATCTCTATTTATTTGCACTTTCTCCAAAGGAATAAACATCATTAATACTTTTATTTGCAGGTCGAAAAAGCTTTTTGAAAAAAATATTTTGCTACGTTAGCTCTGAAACGGTCGAAAACAGAAGTAATTGTCAGTGTATTAGTAATATCGTGACAAATTTCACTAGGATGTTGACAAAAAATACCACAAAAATATCTGTAGTGATATTTTACTTCGTGTATTTAGGATTTTCAATTTGGGGCATTACTAAAATTTCCTATAACGCTACTCTAAATCTAAACGTTATTGGAGGTTCATACCGACATTATTATTACGAGTTACAGAAACAATATTATTATCAATATCAATACAGGTTACAGTTTATCATTCTAGAGAAGCTGGATTACGCCGATCCTCTGGTCCAACAGAAAGTCGAAGAAACGATGCAAACGTTGGAATCCGATCCTCTGATTGGGGGATCGCTAATGACGGAATCCTGGTTGAGGAGTTACCTCCGTTTTGTTTCGGATAAGAGAACAGCGTCGTTGATTTCTTCGTATAATTTGACAAATACTAAAGACTTTTTATTCGTTCTGCAGAATTATTTTCTTCGTATTCCTCGGGCGAAAAGATTTAAAAGCGACATTTCTTTCGAAGAAAACAATACAAATGTAATTAGTTCTCGATTCCTGCTTCAAACGAACATCTCCGCGGATGAAAACCGTTTCTACCGTCAGTTGGTCCAATTAAGGAAGAAAATAGACCAAGCACCCTTCGACGCAATTATATACCATCCGTTATTTTTTTATTTCGATCTCGTCGATGCGATTCCTGCCACGGCTACTCAAACAATGTCTATCGTTTCGGTGACGGTGTTTCTCATATGCGCCATTTTGTTGCCAAACGTCACTTCTATAGTGTGTGTGTTATTTGACGTTCTTTCGGTAGGAATAGGTGTTTTAGGTTTCATGTCATTCTGCAACATTCATTTGGGTTTAAACTCTATTACAATGTTCATTGTTGTTATTGGATTTTCTGTAGATTATGCGGCACACGTCGCGTGCGCTTACGTGTCTTCTCGCGACACCGATCCTAATCTTCGTTTAATTAGAGCTATATCCATGACGGGAATACCGATCATTCAAGGTTGCCTAACAACTGTTTTAGCCGTAATATTTAATATATTTTTACCTTTATTAGAATCGAGACAATCGGTAATCATCTTATGTATTTCTTGTGTAATATCGCTGTTGCACGGAATATTATTTGTTCCCGTCATCATGTCTCTTTTAAACTCATTATGTCAAAGAGCATGTGAAAGAGAAAAACGGGACAAAGATAAGAAAGTCAACGATATTCTCCTAAAACCAGAAACTTAGTCGAATAAAATTGTAAATGTGACAATACGAGAGATAGATATTAATGATACATTAAATATACTGTAAATATGTTTAGTATATATGATAAAAACACACCGTAAATATATTTAATAAGTGTACAGTACAGAGTATTGATTCATTTATCTTACATGTAATATATCTTTTCTTTGTTAATGTCATATAGCCAAAACGAATAAATACGTAGCCTATATACAGTAGAACCTCGATTATCCGGACTAATTGGGGATGAAGGTAGTCCGGATACGGAAAAATCCGGATAATCGAAATAAATACTTTAATTTGTCTTTTAATGATAACACAACACGTTTTCTTTTCGATGACATGTCGTTAATATTAAAAGCGAATACTGTATTTAAATCGTGATCAAATTTTCAAGAAACAAACGTTCGTATTGAATTTGGACTACTACTGACCAACGCTAACAAACTACCTATTGTTTAAAAGGCCCTCTGGTGGCGCAAGAAGACGGATTTTATAAAATAAAAAGCAGTTGAAACTGCATTTTTATGAATAAAAATTTGACAAACTATTTATCGTTTTATGACGAGTAAAATTTTTTCGTCGCGTTCGCGGCTTTTAAATAATGCGTAAACCTTCGAGGCGCGAGGCGCGAGGCCCTTCGGACCGCGAGGCATAGGCAGTGGCCCACTTCGTCCATGCCTTACGTTACCCTTGGTCATAGAAATGATGTAATTTGAATATAAATTATTTATAAATACGTATGTCAAGTTATATTTTTATTACTACGTAAAATATATTTAAGAGTTTACTACCACTGTGCTGGGTGAGACGTTGTTGAAACAAAAAAATTATGCATTCCATTACGTACATAAACAATGTCATAATTTGCCAAGTGCGAATCAGCAAATTCGTAAAATTTTTGTTTATTTTGAACAATCCGGATAATCGAAAATCCGGATAATGGAGGTCCGGATAATGGAGGTTCTACTGTATATATATTGGTTGGCACTCATTAACATTTATTATAAAATAAATTTATTACGTTAAAAGCTAACGTTTAGTATTACTTTTCTGTATTACAATATGCTGTAATTTGTTTAATGCAATTATTAAGTTAAGTGTTTCAAATATTTCTGTAAGAAGAAGATACGAGCGAACCTAATTTATTTTACACTGTGAATATAATACTATCAGAAAATAACTGTGGTCTAAAATTACTCGCGACGGACTGATGGATCTCCTGTCTATAAAAATACATTTTATTCCTCCCGAAACGTGATAACAAGTACGATCGGTGTCCAGTGTTTTGTTAAATATTATTTTCTTTTTAATAAATATAACTTTATATCCAGTCTCGCTTGAGATGCGCTTTATTAGTATAACGGGTTAACTTAAGCGTACAGCTGAGTTTATTTTAAATACGCGGCGTCCATTTGAACTGTGCGCGGCAGCTACTTTTTCGTGTTCGGGGTGCTTCATCTGTAACAAAATCGGTAGTGACGAATCTGATGACGCAGTTCGCTGCCGTCGCTAGAGTTTCTGCCACGACTTACTTTATTAGTTTCTGTTGTATTACGTTGCAAACTTTTACTTAATATTTCTTGATGTACAGCAAATCATGTCGTTTTATTCTTTTACAATAAGTTTTATTTTTTATTGTAGCAACAATTAATAGTAACAAACAGCCCGGTAAGGTCATATAGGCCTATAACGGGTTTACTGCCTCGCAACACTGAGCGCTCGTGCGTAAGATTTGTATTACTCGTGTCTTGTATTATTGTTGTATTTACATGTTTCTTCTATTTATGTAGGCTTGTTTTTTCTTGGGCTAATGACAATAATTTACAATCGGAAATCTTAGTTGTACCGGAGCCAAATGAAGCGAGGAAAGTTTCAAAGAAGGAAAAGATAAAGAAAAAACACGATACTAATTTAAAAGTATGTGACATAGACTAAACAACGCAGAAATATTATGCTGTAGCCTGGTTTATTTTTTAGATTTGGCCAAGTTCCTTCTGACCATTGCATTAAGTTACATTATTGCGATTTATCCACCATAATAAATCAAATTCTGTTAGAGTTCTGATAACAAGTTTTTATTCAATGCCGGCAGCATCTCTCCCAGCATATCAGGGACAGGTGCCAAACGGATATTGCGTTTAAAAAAAATGTTAATGAAAGAATAGAGGAATAAATCGAAATATTATACCACGCTTTGCATTATTGTTTTAAACAGTTAACACCATGCGCCGGACTATCCTCGTTGTCAGCATTCATGCGCGCGTTAACGTAGCCGTTTCGAGTGTAGTGCGTAAAAATATTAGCAACGTAATTTTTAACCAAAAATGCCGTTAGATTTGTTATTTGCTTCAGAATACATTTCCGCTTTCTGTGTGGTGATTTAGGATATATTTTATATGTCGAATGCTACGTTAATATTTGGGAAACGAAACACCACGATCGACTGCAGGAAGGGAATAGATGTGACATAACACGATCAATCTCCGACAGGGAAAGAAAAATAATTGATTAATGAATATTTATCATACATACTTATGTAATAAACAAAGAGGCACAGGACCAAAACAGAAAAGAGTTAACTTGGACACATTATACTTGTAGTAAAACAGGAATCATTCTGAACAATTGATGAAAATACTCATGTTTCATCCAGCTCCGAACACAATAGCATTTATTATATTTCCGGAAGTACATTAAATGCTATTTTAAGAAATGTATAAAACTATAACGAATTTTTGATCATAGAATCATCAAAAAGCATTACACCTGACTTTGAAAATTGAACTGAATAATGTGACGGAGGTAATTTATACTATGTACTGTGTGGCCACTGAAGAACTCGTTCGGTATCACAATGTACATAAATGACACTAATTTTATGGAATTTACGCAATTCCAAATAAATACCCTAAATCCTGGATGTAATATAAATAACGTACTTTAAATTTTAATAAAATGTAACTAATTATTCTAAAATATAACAAAAGAATAATTAAAAATTTTTTAAACATGCAGTAAATTGTATACGTGTTTAGTTTTTATTTTATAAATTAAATTTAATAAATATAAAAAATAACCATGTTTTTAAGTAAAAGAATAAAGCTCCACTTAATGGTATTTTGTTTGAAAATTTTTAAGAGGTAGACTTTAAGAAAGACTGAGGAGATGATGTTGATGAGAACAGAAATGAGAATATTACGGTGGTTGGCTGGGATTTCACTTAAAAATTAAAGGAGGAGTGAGAACAGTAGAAGAGAGCTGGCAGTTGTATTGTATGTGTCTCAGACAAAATAGCAAAATTACGACTGAGATGATTTAAACTTGTCTTAAGGAGAGAACTGCAGAACATAATACAAGGCGCATATAATTTAGGGGTGGAAGAAAAAAAAACAGAGATAGACAACAGAGGAGGTGGAGAGAGGACGTTGAAGAGGATATGAGAAATGTTAATTAAAGACAGGGGATGCGAAGGACAGAAATACACGGAGAGGTAAGACCGTTAAAGTAGAAGAAGATTACAAATAAAAACTATTTATTTTGTTTTAAATAATTGACGATACGATTTATTTGTCATTCTGTTTTCATTCATCTAGAAAATCAGCCATTTTTTTCTTTGGAAGCGCCAGTTCATTCCGATTTCTCACCCAGCGGTGTATTATTATCTCTGTTTTACCAAAGTCAAACACTTTCGAAAAGAGAAACTGTCGATGTTACGTAGATGCAGATTCGCGTGAATTGAACTTTTTACTTACAATTTATTTCGAATCACCTTCTCGTTAATTCTCTTTGTGTCGAATAAAACAATGACGAGAACTAGCGTCAAGCTCCACGAGAAAGTAGACGCGGATTCATTAAACCGTTACGAAACACAATAATATTCACTTTTTCACGTTGTGAATTTACAATTAGCCGAGCGATTGAATACCTTTATAATTTACGTTAATTTGTACCAAAGAAGATCTTTCGATAATTGCTAAGAAAAAATATTCCCAAAATACTTGTTAAAAAAATTAATGTCAAATGATTACCATCAGCTGGAAAAACTTATCTGATAAACAAGTAAAAAAAAAAAAAACAAAAGAACATAGGCTAAATAGCGATTACGTCATTTATTTATTATAAGATAATCGGTAGTAATCGGTTAACTTTTAATGAATTCAAATTAAACGGGTTAATACGAATTAAACGATAATTCTTAGTAACCGGTCTAGAAAGTTAATTCCTGTCTGATAACTATCGTTGGAAAAAATGCTCTCGTGTATGGCTAAAATAATGGAAATTACAATCTATACTAGAACTGTAATGCGTTTGGAAATAACCATAGTAAGTAAATTCACATTAATCAGAAAAATACTTTTGCCACATAATCTTTTAATACAGAAAACAGAGGAAATCATTTCATATAATGACAGCGCTTTTACAGACTCGCCGCCGGCATTCGCCCGTTTGACCTTGATGTATTGTATTTAGGATAGGCTGTTCGGCTCTCTTACTTCTTATCTTTACTTTCAATCATGAAAAGGAAAATATTATCCTACGCGAAAATTAATTAAGCAAAATCGAATATATTCGAAGTGACTACAGAAATATCTCGAGTGTTCTTCCGATCGCTTCGATGTATTAAATGAAAAGGAGGAACAAAGACCCACCCTTCTCTATATAATATGTTTGCCCTACACTTCCGGAAGAGAGTGTAACTATATTCGCCGATAACCTAGTTATTACGTTACTTCGGAGATCGAGATACTCAAAACCGTAAGTAGATCCTAAGGTTGTTTATGTTAATAACGATGATTTACAAATTAATCATAAAAAACACAACTATTGTTTTTATTTGAATAAAAATTGTTTGCTAATATTGTTTTCGGATCGACAGACTTCGATTATGAAATATCTGGAAGTTATAATTAATTATAAACGGTTAGATTTAAATTTACTCGATGCTTCCTGTTATTTATGTTAGGAACGTGGCTGTTACGTGTGAAAAAGTTTATCTCTTGGTCCTCTGACAGGTATAGTGTGACATACGAGGGCACTGTTTGTTTGTTCTAGTTGACAATGACCCTCTAAGTTATTACTACTGATGTAACACGTGTGTCCCTTATGTAACATGTGTGTGTCCCCCTGTAACATGTGTTGTGCGTCTGTAGTCTTCGTGGGGTAAAGATGTGTAGAAGTTTCGTCCGTCTCCCGTATACATCCTTGCTGGCTCAATATATCCGACTTAACGAACAA